CTCTGCGGCAGGCCCGGCGGCGGTGCCGGCGCACGGGACTGGCATCGGGTCGGGCATGTCCTCCCACAGTCAGATCTTGGAGGAAAAACAAACAAGTGTAAGACGAAACAAAACAACATCAAACTATTCAAAGAATGCTAGAGAAATCGTCCCCCCCCCGTTGTTTTGCTCTCAAGTACAAGAAAAAAAACAGTAACGCGAAACGAAACAACATCAAACTAGATCCCAAAAAGTGCTAGAAAAACATTACCCCCCCGTTTTTTGTTCTTAAGTCGATTCCTCCTGTAGGAAGGGCCATGCCCGACTTCACGGCAGGCCCGGCGGCGGCGCCGGCGGCGGGGGCGTTCCGCACGAGCTTCGGCGGCGGCGGGCAGCGGCTCGGCCGCAGGAGCGGCGGCGCCGCGTCTCGCCGCCTCCGCCTCTCCGTGCGCGCGCGGGCGCTGCCCGCGGGCGTGGCCCCGCGAGGCTCTGAGCCCGTGACAGGCTCAGCCCCGCCGCCTCCGCCTCCGCCTCCTCCTCCTCCTCGTCCATCCTCTACTCATTGTCCTACTCCTCCTCCTCCTCCTCCTCCTCCTCCTCCTCCTCCTGCTTCTCCTCCTCCTTCTCCTCCTCCTCCTCCTCCACCTCCTCCCCCACCTCTTAACCTGACCTCCTCCTCCTCCTCCCTATCCTCCCTCTCCTCCTCTCCTCTCCTCCCTCTCCTCTCTCTCCTCTCCTCCTCCTCCTCCTCCTCCCTCTCCTCCCTCTCCTCCTCTCCTGCTCTCCTCCTCCACCTCCTCCTCCACCATCCTCCTCCTCCTCCTCCTCCTCCTCCTCCTCCTCCTCCCTCTCCTACTCATGGCAGTGGTGGTGGAAGATGGGCCAATCGACCTCGTGGGCCTCCTCGGCTCGGAAAGCGCGGCCGCACGCCCGGGCGCCACCGCGGGATTCTCTGAGCGCATGGCTGGCTGCATCTCGCACTCTGGATACTTAAGCGCGGCCGCACTCATGGGTACACTTTTTTGCGGGAGTCACAGATGTCCAGCGCAACGCAGTGGCAGGCAACGAGACGCAGGTGGCATGCAGAGCAGTGCGTTGCACAACGTCGTAGTGCACCGCATGGCACATCCTAGCAAACCATGGTATATATCGAATCAGCATGGTGTATCACTAAACTGAAATGCGATGCGCCGCACTGCGTAGCATGGCATAGCATGGCACAGCGCAACATTGCACGACATGGCACACGTGCCGCTGTGCTGGGTAGCTCAGCGAAGGCTAAGCATGGCACTGCATTGACAAGCACGGAATGGAATGGCGCACCACAGCATTCAATGGCGCAGCGCTCACGTCACAACGCTGGCACAGCACAGCACAGGCAACATGTCGGCGAATGCCTGGCTGCCAGGAGGGCGCAACCCGACCTCTTCGGCCGGACACTGCTCTTCACGGAGCAAGCGAGCGACGATCGAACAGGGACCTTACGCGAGGCGACGCAGCGACCTCACGTGGCGGCCTACGCGGGCCACAGGCTCGGCACGCCGCCTTCGAAACGAGGGCGCCAACGCGCCACCTTCCGCGAGCAGCTTACACGCGCCAGCGTCGGCGCAAACGACCCCGTTTTTTTTTTTTTTTCTTGAGGCGCCCAAGTGAGAACCCCTTCGGGGAGGCCTGGCATCGAGAGCACAGTCATCGTGCTACCTAGAGGAGCGCCAAGCCAGCAGCGAAGGGGCTCTTCTCGCCACGGCGAGCCTCGGCCACGCATAGGCCTCTCAACCTGTCCTCCTCCTCCTCCTCCTCCTCCTCCTCCTCCTCCTCCTCCTACTCCCCCTTCTCCTCCTCCTCCCCCCCTCCTCCTCCTCCTCCTCCTCCTCCTCCACCTCCTCCTCCACCTCTTAACCTGACCTCCTCCTCCTCCTCCTCCTCCACCTCCGCCTCCCCCTCCTCCTCCTCTTCCCCCGCCCGTCCCATGTCCCGAGCGAGTGGCAGGGTCATCAGCTAGTCGTTGTCGTTGTCGTCGTGGTCGTCGTCGTCGTCCTTCCAGGTCCGCGGCACTGGCCGCAAGGCCTTCACGAGAGGCCCCCCGACCCGAGTCTGAGAAACGGCCCGGAGGCCAGAGCCCCTGAGCTCGAGGTGGTTCTGATTCCAGCGCCTTGGCTGCAAACTCCCAGAATCCCGCCGCTAAACGCTGCTTCTCTGGCGCGCGCGCGCCGCACCGGGGCTCTGCGCGGCCAGGCCCCGCCGCCTCCCCGTCGTGCCTCGGACGAAACCTCTGGGGCCGGGGGGGGGGCCCCGCTTGCTGCTCCTGGGTATTTCCCCTAACCCTGGACCTCGGAACGCAGGAACCGCCCTGGCGAGACCTTAAATAGCGTCGGCGAGCGCCCTGGCGACCTTAAATAGCGTCGGCGAGACCTCAAATAGCGTCGGCGAGCGCCCTGGCGACCCTAAACAGCGTCGGCGAGCGCCCTGGCGAGCCCTTCGGGCCGTGCCTCGCACGATGGACGGGCGCGGAGGGCGGCACGGCAGCGCAGAGCAGCCGGCAGCGCTGCCCGCCCTCGCGGCTGCAGCTGCCGTGGAGCACGGAGCTGCTCGGGCCCGCGCCGCGCCGGCGGGGCGCTCACCGCTCAGGGGATCGCAAGGGAACGGTTCCCCGTGGACACCGGTCCCGCTCGTCCAGGTCGAGCTGGGCCCGGCGGACTCGGCCAGGTCGACCTCGGCCAGGTCGAACTCGCCCCCGCCGAGTTGGATCAGACGAGTTTGAAGGGGCCCTGGGACACACAAATAAATACACACAAATAACAAGATTCCCTATATTTTCTCTAATCTTTGTTTGTTTTCGTCTTCCCCCCCACCTTCCATATTTTTTTTACATTTTCCTGGGAATCGGCGAATACTTGTGTCTGTGTTTTTTTTCCCTCCTGAGAGTGGGACCACCGGTTTCGACCAGCCGACTTGGACCCCGGCCGAGTTCGAGCTCGGCCGGGGTCGACCAGCCGAGTTGACCAGGGGCCGAGCTCGAGCTCGGCTGACGCTGCACCCGGAGCACTGGCCGAGTCGGACCAGGCCGAGTTCGACCTGGGTCGAGTTCAGCCCCAGCCTACTTGAGCTGAGCCGAGTGACACCCCAGCCGAGCTCGACAGGCCGAGTTCGACCAGACCGACTTGAATTGGGCCGCACGAGCTGCAATGAAAGGAACGAGTTAGACTTGCCATGTTGGTTCAGCCGAATTGGACCTGGCCGAGTTGAACCGGGCCGTGTTTCGGCGTTTGGAAAGGAGAAACGCGGGGCGGTCTCGACCCCTCGTCGTCCGCCTCGCCACCCACGCCCGAGCCCCGGGCCAACGTCCCAGAGGACGACGCAGCCGACAACGCAAAGAACGACGACCACGACGACGACGACCACGACGACGACGACGACGACGACCGATGAAGCGCCGACGTCGCAGACGACAACAGCATGATAATCGACTACGCCGCGACGACGAGAAAGACGATGTCGACGACGAGAACCACCAGCACGGCAACGAAGCCGACTGGAAAACCACGCGACGAAGACGCTAACGAAGACGCTAACAAGGACGACCACGAAGACAACAACAAAAACAAATGCAACGACGGCGACGACATCAGCAAAACGACCAGCGCGACCAACGAAGAATACAAGACACCGAACATAAGAAGCAACAGTTCGTGTGACTCCAAAAAGTGTTCTCGCCAGTCGTCCCCCGCCCCCGTCCCCGTCTTCCTCCTCCTCCTCCGCGTCGCCCTCGGCCCCCTCCCGCTTGTCAGTCAAAATGCAGCTTTCTTGGATTTTTCGTTGGTCGCGCTGGTCGTCGTGCCGTCGTCGTTGTCGTCGTCATCGCTGTATTTGCTTCTGTCGTTGTATTCGTGGCCGCCCCTGTTGGCATCTTCGTCGGCGTCTTCGTCGCGCGGTGGTTTGCAGTCTCCCCCGTCAAGCGCCGGAACGTGGCCCGGTTCATCTCGGCCAGGTCCAACTCGGCCGGACGAAGCCGGCTGGTCGAACTCGCCCAAATCAACTCGTCTGGTCCATGCCACTAGTTTGGCCCCATCGATCTCGGCCGGGGTCGAACTCGTCAAAGCTCGAATGGGCCGAGGTTAATCTCGGCCAGGGGAGGGAGGAGGGAGGAGGGAGGAAGAGGAGGAGGAGGAGGAGGAGGAGGAGGAGGAGGAAGCAGTAGGAGGAGGAGGCGACCAGGTCGACGCCGAGCCTGGCTCGTCCCTCGTCGTCCGCCTCGCCGCCCATCCCCCCAACCCCGGGCCAACGCCCCAGAGGACGACGCAGCCGACAGCGTAAACAACGACGACCACGACGACGACGCGACGACGACGCAGACAACATGATAATCGACTACGACGCGACGACGAGAAAGACGAAGTCGACGACGAGAAACACCCGCACGATAACGAGGACGACTGCAAAACCACTACGCGACGGAAATGCTGACGAAAACGCTGGACGACCACGAAGACAACGACAACGACAAATGCCACGACGACGACGACGACGTTGATGACAGCAGCACGACGACCAGCGCGACCAAACAAAAACAATAAGAAATTCAAACAGAATAAGCAAGACTTTGTGTGACTACAGAACGTTATGTACTCAGGCTAACTTATCGCCCTCGTGTTCTCGCCAGGCGTCCCCCGCCCTCGTCGACATCGTCGTCGCCCTCCTCCTCCTCCTCCTCCTCCTCCTCCTCCTCCTCCTCCCCCTCCTCCCCCTCATCCTCGTCGTCCTCCTCCTCCTCCACCTCCTCCTCCTCTTACCCCTCGTCCTCCTCCTCTTCCTGCTCCTCCGCTTTGCCTTCGGCCCCCTCCCCCCTCGTTAGCCAACGCGTGGTGATTTTGAATTTTTACCTAACGGCGAAGACAGATAGGTTTCTGGTAGGGTCAAAAGAGAGCATCATGACTCCCCAAGGGGGTCTGGGCGCGATCCGGGGGAGGATGCCGGGGACTTTTCTTTAGCAAGCAGTAACGCACTTCGTGGTCTAGTTCCCA